AGTTAAAGCTCAAATTAGCGTTTCGTTGCGTGAGTTCTCCTGTAAGGGACAGCAGAAAGTCAACTTCAGCGCCTGTGGAAGGACCACTAGCCACAATCTCCATCGCTCCGAAACAAACTTATTGGCAGATACCGCTTTTTCTTTACGTTTATTGATTTCCGGCCTCATGAATTGTCCCAGTGAACTGCAGGGAAAAATATTCTCTGAAAAGTAAATTCCTAAAACTAGGAAAAATCACATTAAATGCATATGGATGAGATATTCACTAAGAAGGTAATACCTATGGTGCGTTCAATGCATGCCCTTTCTTGTGCTTTATTAGCCCAGTTCGTCTATATTGATTATATCAGGGCTATCTTATCATTGAGCATGCATTTAAACAAATTGATGAACTGGAGCCTGAAAGCACATACATTTGTGTCCTCGGAAGGGGAAGAATGTTCTGAGCATGGTCTGTGGTCAGTGAGATAGTTAATAGTAGTGAAACGTTGCCAACTGCCTGATTTAGTGGAATTGCGCTGATAGTTTTCTGTCTTTCCTGATACGCTGCAGGGGGATAGCAGAGGGCAAAGGCTTAAAGCGCTTTTTTAGGTGTTTTGTTACATAAACCCAAGTTTGTCAAGTGCGCAAGACTCTTTGTAGTGTTATAAACAATAAGATAATACATAAGGCAATATTAAGGACCCTTTTGTCTTTGCTTTCTTGAATATATTATGGGGAAGGGCTTTTTTTCCAGCAGTACCTTCGGTAGCGTCAGAGTTCAGTTTACAGGTAACTTCTCCACACTTCAGCCCTTAGAAGAACTAGAATTGTAGCAGTGATTAAGAAAGATACAGTCCCTTCATGAATGGTATCCCTGCGGAATTCTTCATCTTTTCATATATATATATATATATAAAAATATATTTTTAACATTTTATTCTTTCTTCTAAGTTTGTAAGAGGGCATAGGACATGGTTTGATTGGTGGCTGTCTTTCTGCGAGCTTATTTTGGTTTTTTCCGTGCTTGAAATATATTAGGTAACATTTGCAAAGCTGTATTTCTTGGTTTTTTTAGCTACTCATAAGTGCTGACCTTGATTTTACATGTCTAAGATCAGCTGAAAAATCCCCAAACGCTTTCTAAACCGAATGGAAATCACATCACCTGTCCTGGAAACTCAGCTACCTCTGAGGGGAAACGTGTCAAGGAGCAACAGGGATATGGTTGTGTGTGTATGGGATATAAAGTCGTATCAGAGAAGAATTTGCCCTTGTGGTGGATGCAAGTGCCAGGTTATGGTCCCTTCTTGTGTGTTGTGTGGAACACGTTGGCGTCCTGCGTTGATGAAACCAAAGGTGTCCAAAGGCACCTTTGCTCTCAGAGAGGCGTTTCACACCTTGTGGCCGTTGCAGTGTGGTTTTGGCAGGCGGCTCTGCTTGCCTCCTGATTGCTGGTCCGTCTTCCTGAAGCTGTGGGTTTCCTGCCCAAGGGCTCGTAGGAGAAGACACTCAAAGTCTGCAGGTTCCCATGGGGTGATGTGGTTTGGAGACCTAAGGCCCTTGCTCCAGGGAGTCTGCTCTGCGCACAAAGGGTGCGCATAAAAAAGGACTTGAAGGAGTAGGAGAGGGCAAAGCGGACTCATCTCTGCTTGAAGTGCCGAACAGGGTTAAGGGGATGGCAGGGGAATAATGAGATAAGACCAAGGGAGGATGCATCTCAGGGTGGTTGTTCTTCTCAAAGATACTGCTGATGTGTTTTGCGGGAGAGGATCAAGGTAGGAGCCTAAAGTTCAGAGACTGGAACACACTGTTGTGTTTCTGAGCTGAAAACTGTGACTTTCCCCAAACTCTGTGGGACTTCACCTTTGGATTCACCTGCAGTGGACTCAGAAGGCCCTGAAATTGCGTCCTCTGAGCTCCTTTAAATCGCTGTAAGACTATTGGCTTCACAAGGCTTTGGTGCAAGTCAGTTTGAGGCATTAATGCCAGGGGTGCAGGGCCTGTCTTGGACCAAAAACCATCCTACCCTTTGAGGTTTGCAGCTTGTGGTGGCTCCTTGGTGGTATCTTTGAAACCTTGTTGGGTTGGGAAACTGTTGTCCTGTCTGCGGAGAAATGCCCACTGGGAAACGAGCAGGATGTAGAACGAGGCAAACACGGGCATAAGGGTGGGCGTGAGGGAATGGCACATGATGGACGCACAGCTCTGCAGGGATGGGCGCAACATTGCCATGAACGCAGACTGACAGGTCTCTTCCTGGGATGTCCTAGTGCTGTGGGACGTGCCGGAGGATGAAGAGTGTCAAGGACTAGCCAGGTCAGCCAACAGGCCTGGAAAGAGCAATCCCAGCGTTTACTGGGTCCAAGGGAGAGCAGCACGGTGAGGTGGGAGAGGCAGCCAGCTTCTCTGGGGCACACTGCAGGATGAGTGTTGAGCTTGCCAGAGACTTTCCAGTGAAATATTAATGCTGTAAATTTTCAGTTCATTCAAAATTTCTACAGTTCTGGTGGTGCTTTCCTCAGTGAAGGTTTTCTGCATCCCAGGCAGAGATTGTTCTCAAAGTGAGGAACCACTCCAACTCCTCAGATGTATCCAGTAGCCTGTGGGTTATTTTCTTTCTAGTAATATGGGAAGCTCAAGTTAAAAATCCTGAGCCGAGCAGGGTCTCCGAGATGGAGTCTCTTCAGAGCTGCATCTAGTAGCTGGGCTGTTGGAGGGCCTGCCTGGGGTTGTCTTGCAGGAGAGCTGACCTTCCTTGTAGAGCTAATTAAACAGGCAGTGATGCAGGGAGCTGAACCTGGATCTCCTGCGGCCTCTCACCCACACTTTCCTGGGCAAGACCTGACTCAGAGCCGCGAAGGTCTGGTGACTCCATGGCCAGGTTTAGACCTTTGGCCCATCTGGAGGTTTGATGGGGTTGGACGTTGGTTCCTTGGGTGTCCCGTAGCTGTAGGCATCACCGTGTGCCTGGGGCTAGAAGACGTTGCAGAGACGTTGTGCGCTAACCAAGATTGGTGTAACAGAGGTGCAGCTCCTGGGGCCTGGGGCCAGCACAAATGGCTCCGTTATTTAATGGTTTGCTGTTGTTTCTAATGCCAGTTCTTTGTCCCTGGCACCGTTCTTGTTGACTTCCAAAGGGTATGAATTTGGCACTTCATTCACACTCATTTCTTTATTTTTTTCTGCTCCTACTTAAAATAGCAGCAGATCAATATATTGAATTCAGTGGCTTATTTGATCCTAAAAGTCACTGTCCATTTCTCAGTGGAGCTGTGGGCAATGGAAGCCACAACATGGCCTTTCCTACAAACACAGCAAACAAGTTACAACGCCGTTCGTGGATGTCAGATCTCAACTGTAAATCGTGGCTTTTTTGAACAACGCTAATGCTTGTTTATGGGAGCAATCTTTGTTCTGAAGACATAGATTAAGTGCCCTGCAGTGCAAAATACCTAAACGCGTTCAATACTCTCACCCTTGGTATAGAGAATACTATCATCTTTCTTGGAGGATAACGGAGGGGGATAATATAAGGAGGAATACATGGAGAGATGTAACCTGGCCTGGCAGGATCTCAGAGAAAATCATATGTCTTAATTAACTCAATTCTTTGCATCATGCACTTATCCATAATTTAATGATGTGACTCCTACTTTCTTAAAAATTCTTTTTCATTCTCAAGCGCCCTTTTCACAGATCTATTTAAAAACGCACCTGCCAACCATATGCCTGGGAAAAGGCTCCAGCAGCGTAGACAGGAAGTTCCAAATTCTTACCACAAATTAAATGTTGCCTGGTAATTACCAGGGACAAGAAGAGTGTGCTTGATGAAGTTATGGGATGATTAGCGAGTTTGGCAATAAATTTTGCTTCCTCAATCTGTCTGTCATTCCCTTCGATGTTCCAGCCTTCTGTTCCCTGCTAAGTCGTAATTTCACTCCCCAAGTTACAATGCTGAACACAATATATAGGATTAAAGTTTATAATTAGCGGCCTTCCAAGGTGCATGGCTGAACTCCTGCCCGCTCCGAAGGGCGCTGGGACTGCACAGTCCTCCTGCAGTTACGTCCCGTATCTCTACACCACTTACAGTGTCTCACCCTGTTTTGAAAATAAGAAAAGGACATGAGGGGCAATCAGGAAAAAATACTAAGATCTCAACGATTGCCCCTCTTTTCAAGGCATTTGAAAGCCGTTGTTGGACCTGCCGTGTCCCCAGGTTGAACGTCGTCTCTGTTTCCTTGCAGGCGTCTTTCCCAGGGAACCTGCACTTAGTGATGGTTCTTCGTCCCACGGGGTTTTTCCAGCGCACCTTCACTGACATTGGGTTTCGGTTCAGCCAGGAGGATTTTCTACTCAAGTTACCGGTACGAGCGTGCAGAGGTGTTGTGCCTGTGCGGGATCGGAGGCTGCCCGCGCGCCTCGAGTCGAGAAGGTGACAGTATCCCACTCTGCAGACACCCATGTGAAGAGTAACCGGGGTGTCTCTGCCAGAAATGCCCTATTTCCACCAAATCTCTCCCCACCAAATCTCGCCTGTAGCCCTTTGCAGCTCCCTGTTGCACAGTTTGCTCCCCGCAGAGCGTGGCAGTGGCTGGTGGCTTCTCAGCCTGTCCTCGTCCCCCGTGTAGACCGTGTGCCTCTGTGGAGGGTAAAACTGTACTCAGGAATTTGTTTAATGGCCGAAAAGTCAAAAGACACGTCTAGTGAAGTTTTTACTATGAATTCTACTCCAAATCATCGTTTTCATCTCAGGGTAAACCCCATACCAACATCATGTTGGTATTTGCTTCTAAAATAGCGACTGAAATGGTTTTATATTCTCAAGTCAAAGTTCCCAAGACTTCTAAAGTCACCTTGATTATAGGACGCAATGAGAATAATTAAGAGAAGGAAAGTATATTTATGGAATCTAAGGTTGACGCAATTACAAACCCACAAAACAAACCAATGTTTTCCTTTAGGAAATAACGTGATTTTCACAAACTTTGCATCTTTCGCTCTAAAATGGTTGTCGTTTGCACAGTTTTGAAAATTCATGACTTATCCCGGGGCAGATCAAGACACACAAAAACTCACGAGCATATATTTCACAAAAAGCTGTGAGCATATATTTATGTGAAATTGGCCAGTGCTTCACAATGCATTAAAATGTAGCTATTTTCCCAGATTAGTGGTCATCCCCTGCAAAAACCTGCATTGCCTTTGCTTCCAGTTCTGCAGTCAGATACTGCAGCATCTCACTGTGCTTTGCATTTAAGGAAGAAAGTACCTAAGAGATCAGTGTTGGCTTACAAAAATGGTCAAATACATCAAATAAAAGCCATGAGCATAAGAAGAAAGCCATGCTGTAGAACAATATTTAGAGCAAACCCAGTTTTTAGATACGCAAAATATTTGTAGGCTTGATCTGTGTCTGACTTGAGCAGAAGCGATGATCAACCACCTAAAGGTGTTGCTTTGTTTGTAGGTTGTTATGTTGAGCTCCGTTAGCGACCTGCTGACATACATTGATGAGCAGCAATTAACGCCGGAGTTTGGAGGTACCCTGGAGTACTGCCACAGCGAGTGGGTCATCTTCAGGACCGTACGTACCGGTGCTGGGCGCTTGGGTGTTGGGGATGGATTGAGGAAGGTTTTCTGTAAGGCGATGAGCAATGGGTAGCTGAAAGGAACCCCTGAAGCCAACTACATCTCCTTGATCAGATCTGCAAAGGAGTCAAGTGGTGTTAGGCACTTGATGGGTTTATGAGGGAATTGAATGATTAACTCCCTCAGGCTCCTTTTGAAACTGCTCCCGAAAGATCTGTCTTCTTAAGTCTTTATTAAAATTCCCTTAATGGTAGATACAGAATAGGCTTTTTTTTTTTTTTTTAATATATATATAATGGTCACTTCATGTAATTAATATCACAAATGTGTTTGGGAACCAGGGCAGTGAGACTGCTCTCTGCATACTGACCAAATGCAGAGAGTTCAGATTTCCTTTAATTTTTTTTTTCTTTGCAAGAATTTTCCTTTAATATTAGCAGGCAGCAGGGATTTAACTCCTGAGCTGTGCCTTGCTGTGTGTTTCTATGCCTCCTGAAAACTCTTAGTTTTCACTGGGACTTTGTCTCCCAGATTGATAGCGGATTGGATTCCCACTTACCTTCCCAACAAATCAAAGCACTAAGGAATAATGTACCAGACGTCCTACTGCCCCTTCTCCTGCCACATCATCCTCACCAGCAGATGTGGAGCTCAGTATAAAGACAAAAGCACACGACATTGTAGCTGGAATCACTCAAGCCATTGCTTGTGGCATTAACTTTGTGCCCGTTTACGCTGATGCACTGCCAAACTAATGAATTTTTGAAAGTTTTGGCTCAGTTTTGTTCTTTTGCACGATGTGTTAAAGTGATAATGGCATAGCTCTCACACTTGGAGACAAAAATGGCAAAATGAATGACAAAAAATGTTAATCTAAGAAAAGGATAGTTTCTAGGCTGTAGCTGCGTACAGTAGAAAGTATGAAAAACCTCTCTCAAAATGCCCGTGCAGTGTGCTCGTAAAACGTTCCCTGAAATTTCCATGGAAAATACATGTGGTTTAAAGAAAATATAACTGCAATCAGTTACATTTGAGTTTATTACCCCGTTCTCAAAAGCAGAGCTGGAGCTGTGAGCGGGGCCGGGAGAGCCCCACCTCTGCCTGTGGGGTGGGAGCCGTCTGGTGCCCAGAGCTCCCAGTGGCTGTCTGGGATGTGCTGGGAAGGTACCAGCGGCACTCACTTCCATGGGGCTGTCTCTAGTTTGTCTCCGGCACGCTGCTTGGCTCCCTCCCTTGTCCTCTTGGTGAAGCTGTGGCTGAGGTGGCCGCGATGCCTTGTAACCCACCATTTGGGCTCGCAAAGCTGCCAACATCCATCACCAAGAAGGAAAACACATCTCCAAAGCCTTACTGCCTGGAGGTGGTTCCCAGTGCGGGTTAACTGGAGGAGAAGAATAATAGAAGAGGGATTAGAGGAATATGTGAGATGGATCCTATGGTGCCTTCTGCTACAGCCCTCTGGTATGTGGTAGGAAAAATCTCAGAGTCCACCAGAACAAGCAACACAAAACAAAGCATGAGTGTCCCTGCACAACACTATCCTTATTTAAGTCCCTGTTGGGGAGTCAGTCTGCGCTAAAAGCCACTTGGCCACGTGTTGGTGGCCACTACCTACTGCACCGCAGCACATATCGGCTCCGTCGGTGGACATCCCCCCCGCCTCTCCCGGAGCAAGCTGTTGGGCTCCCCTGCAGATCTCAACCTTGGCTCTTGGTGCACTCCTAATGAGCTGTAGCAACACCCTGAATCCCAAGCTGATCGCAATTATCGTCTCCCGCCAGGCGATAGAGAGTTTTGCACTAACCGTGAAGGAAATTGCACAGATGTTACAATCCTTTGGCACGGAGCTGGCAGAGACCGAGCTACCGGACGACATGTATTCAATCGAGCGCATCCTGGCCCTGCGCACGGAGAAGTACTACCAGCTCAAGGTATGTCTCGGCAGCAGCTCAGCCGCGTGTTTCCACGCATGATGGGATTTCGGGGGTCTGACTGCCTGTCTGGTGCTCGCTCCTCCTTCCCTCCCGTGCCTGCGTACGTGTTGACAGACAAACCAAAACACAGCATGACTATTTCTATATGTTACCCTCACATTTGCCATCCACGCAAACAAATTACCCTGCCAGCATCCAGCAAAGCGTCTCAGCCGCCTCCTCCTCGCTGGCTGCGGGAGGTGGGGTCTGTAGTGCGCTCCCCCTGGGGGCTTTGCAGGGCGCGCGGGCAGGAGAAGGGCTGGGAGGCTTCGTCCCATGGGGGTCCCTGCCCCCGGGGGGGTCCCTCCACTGCACCCCCACGGCCGAAGGAAGCCGCACGCGAAGATCATCAGGGGGTCTGGAGGAGGGATGGTTTGTCCCCAGGTCCCTCCGCCCGATGCAGCTTCGCCGGAGGGGGATTTAGGGGAACTGCGCGGGAGAGCATCCAAGGTGACGATGCGGTGCGAGCGCGTGGTACAGAGCTGTCCTGATGTGAGCCGTGTCTTCATGTGAGCCTTCAGGTTTCATCTTAAGCGGCATTCGTGTCTTTAATATTTTAAGATTCTTCTTTCAACTATTTGTGATTGCGATTAGAATTACTACGGGAGGTAGCGGAAGCGGTGGTGCAGCCAGCTGCTGCTCTGTCAAGCGCTTGTCTTTGCTGCCTCTGCATCCTTCTGGGGACAGCGCAGGCTCGTCCCCAAACCCTCACTTCAGAAACCATTCCCGTGTTAATGGCCGTGCTGTGCGGCTGAAGAATGAGGTCCTTTGCTTTATGACAGGGTGCGTTCACCTAAGTCATAGAAGTGTATCTCTTCTCATTTATAATCGTTTGTCGTTAGTGTGAGAGTGAGCTCCCAGGAGGCTGCCCGTGGGAAGTATGCAAAATGACATCCCGAGTGCGCTGTGGGTGGGCATAAATGTATGTCCCGATGTATGGAAAGTATCATTATAGATACTGCCAATACTCCTTTATTTCTTCTTTGAAAATGAAGAGAGCTGCAGCATAAAGCAGCAGCTACATATATCGCAGTATGACTTACTGACCTGAACTTCATGCTCAGGACTATAGCCGAAATATGGGGAGCAAATATCGGCTACACAATGTGGTCCTGTATATAAGGCAGTCAGTAATACACACTCTCCTCTGTGGAGAAATAAAACACATCATGTGTTTTCATTTGCATATAAAGCACAGCAGCGCTCCCTACAAGGCATCTGTTGCTTTTAATGCCTCGTCTATTAATTTCAAATATCAAAAGCATTCGTTGGCTTTTGACTGAAATGAAGTCCGTTGGCTTTTTTCTTTTGTTCCTTCTAAGTCCGTGAAAGATGAAAGCAGATGAGAAACTGTGCACAGATTGTGGTGACAGCAAGACATGGGATCCTTGTCTCTCTCATGACAACCCCAAGATTGGTACAGCTGATTCCTGAATTCAAATAATGAGTCGATCAGAATAAATTATGTAGCTGTGATACTGAACAGAAGCTGGTTGCAAACAATGAAAAAACGACAGAAATTAATTAAACAGAGTAACTAAGAAATTAACCTCTTTGATATACTGAATGGGAAAAAAATCAAGTTAACACCTGTTTGACAGTCGAGCTACTTTGCGGGACGTGTAATGAAAGGCTTTGAATCAAAAGGGGAGCGCCGGGCTCTGGAGAGTGAGATGTAAGAGGATGAAATAGCAGTCACCTGCGGTCTAAAGCGTGCTGCATAATTCCTCTTCCCTTTTGAGTCTCCTGGATGTGGTAGTATCAAAAGGAGATGGAGGGGGGACTTTGCCTTGCGGTCATCTTCCGTGATGTTTTAGTGATAGGGATGCAAACCGGCAGCGGACACTTTGTGTGTGGGAGAGGAGAAGCTCCTTCTAGCCATGTCCTTCTGCTCCTGGGCTGCTGCCCTGAAGATGCTGTTATGTTTAGGTTGTTGTGAGCCATCTGGGGTGGGCAGATGTTTAAGCAAGACTGTGCTTTCTGAATCTTCTCCCTAAAGTGGTTTTGCCATTGTTTCTCTTGTAACAGAAATCTGGCCATCTCCTAGGATGGGCTCTTACTCCTCCAGGAGTTGGCTTTCCAATGGAGCCACGCAGAGGTCTTCCCTTCAGGGTTTCTTCCGACTTGGTCCATCAGCCACATCCATTTTCTCCTTCCTTCTCACCTCTACATTTGGTCTTCTTTTCTGAAAATAATTGACTAAATGCCCCTGTTTGCTTTGGGGCTGAGCTCAACACAGGACAAAGCACCTCAGCTCATGCTAATGAACACACCAAGGGGGTTGGCTGGGTCTCAGTCCCAGCGTTGTACCACTATGGGATGCTCTTCCTACAGCCTCCTTTGATGACCTTGATGAGGAAGCACAGCCTCCAAGCTGAGGAAATACTTGCTTGAATACAGGAACGTGTAGATAGATATCTAATACAAACCCACCTGCTCACCAGAAGAGACCTGTGGTAGTGCTGTCCTCCTGCCTCTTGAGTCATTTTTGTGGCCTGATGTTCTCATGCGTGCCGGTTTCCACCCAGCCTGGTGACCAGTCCATGGTCCAGCCTCTTCCAGCGCCAAGGGCTTAACCCAGTGTAAAGGGGGCTAAAACATCTGCTGGGCATCCTTTGGTCTGGTGGGGCTTTCATTTCATACGGGGGAACTGCGGTGGGGGAAACGCAAAACGGCTTACCCTTACCTCACAAAAAGGAGCCTGAATCAGAAATGTTTTGCATTGTACAGGAAGATATTACAGCAGTCACAAAAGAGGGAAAACTGCTTTTGAGCAGTTTTGAAGAGCCTGACTCCGGGGAATGCAGTCAGGACCAACACCGCGAGAGGCCTGGGGACTGGGAGACCGTGAATCGGTGAGTGCACTATGTTCCTAGTTCGCCTGATTTTTGAGTGGAAACACTCAAGTTGTTTAAGCGTATGTCTGATTCTGTTAAAATTCCCGCTGGGATCTTCACAAGTCATATATACATGTCTGTTGACTTGCCCTGAGAGCTTGAGTGCAGAAGACCTGAATAGGTGATCTCTAGGGCTTGTCCATCTCTTCTTGTCTTCTATTTGCAAGTTGTTCCAATCCTGTCCTTTCTCTGTGCTCAAGGTTACTCGGTCAGCTGCGTGAGATGGAGACTGCTTTTGATGGCTTCTGGGAAAAACATCAATTAAAAATGGAGCAGTATTTGCAGCTGTGGAAGTTTGAGCAAAGTTTTCAAGAGGTACCATCAGATGCGTTTTTGTTGGCAGAAGGAAGAGTCGGAGGCGAAAAGGAGGGGAGAGGAGAGAAGTTCTTATGCTTTTTAGTTTGAGAGTGTTTAATTTATGCTGCTGTTCCTTGACTCTGGCAGGGCTGGCGAGCTTGGGGAGACCACTGTGCTTCCTCGCTCAGAGCTAATTTCGGTATCACTGCCCTGCAGTCGCATAGATTTTGCTGATAGAAGCATCTTTGAATTTAGCAATTAGTTCTTGGACGCTAGTTTTATTATTGGATTTAACAGTCTTTGCTGAAGTGTGATTAATTTGGGCCTGAGAATGATTTTCTGCCTGTGCTTCGTATCCTTTTGCAGCAGTCTTCTTCTTTGTGTCTAGGTCAAGAATGCCATTGAGTTTTTAATGGGTCAGCAAGCGGAGCTGCCTGACACTGGCGACAGTGTCCCCCAAGTGAAACAGAGGCTCAAGGACTTGGGTCATTTCGATGGTATGGCTCAGGTGAGATAACCTTTCGCAGAGAGGGGCACTAATGAAACGCAAGAGGTGCGGTCTGTCTTTGTGGTAGGAGGTGTTTTCTGAAATTCCCTGGTTCTGGTGTAATTCATTGGTAAGTGGCTGCAGAAAAGGATTGATTTCACGTCTTTGCGCTGCGCAGCAATGCTGTGATCACTCTGAAAGCTGGGAACGGGGTATTTAATTATCATAGTTAAAATAAATTGCTGAGCCACTGTGAAAATCCAGAACAGATAAATGTCTGAACATAGGGAGGCGTGGGAGTTAATGAGCTGGAAGAAGAATTATTTATATGTTAAGTGCTTAAGCAGCGCTAATAGGCAGAGACTTGTTACCAGGCACATGGAGAGGCAAAAAAGTTGCTATCTTGACGTGCCTGTGATTTGAACATCACATATGGGTGAAGACTAAGAGATGTAGGGGAAAGGAGAGTGAAGAGAGATGATTCACAGGAGGCCAACTGAGGATGTGACTTCTGCAAAGGGATGTGCTTGGCACGTGGGCCAGGGTCAGTGGAGAAACCCTGAGGGATCTGGACACAACCCCCAGCAGCTTCTTTGAAAATAAGAGCCCTCGGGGAAAGGTCTAAGGCTTTTTGGCTGTTTGGCAGCAATGTCTGTGGAGAGAGGGAGGAGGAGCCAAAGGCCAGGCAGACGGGGTGCAGCAGGGCAGCGGTCCCAGCAGAAAGCCAACTCTGGAGAAGACGTGACCATTACATTGATGAAAACGTGCAGGCGAGACAGCACGCTCTTTCCATCACGCTTTGCCGCAAAGGGCCTTTATTTTCACCATAAAACTTAACAGCTGGAGTTCTCTTTCATGCTTAAGAGCATAGTGTGCTTAAACTGGACATCGGCTGTGGCTTTCTCAGAGTGCAGTTCCCGGGGGCGGCAGCAGCACATGGCCACCAGCCATCCACAGTGGTGCTAGTTTGGGGAAATACTGTTTTCTTCCTCATCCTCCTTTTTGGATACCAAAGTTTTTTTTCCCCAGACGATGGGTGCCATTTTATCCTGCGTAAGCCACCCATTCTGGCTGCTCCTAATGGCAGTCATCTCCAGGTGTATCCGAAATCCGGTAAGACGAGAAAGTGCATGTTGTTACATGTAGATATTTTTGGCGTTATTTCAGTGAGCGTGCAATCCGGTCTCTTCTTTTCCTTGAAGGATCTGATAGGGAAGGCTCAGGTGGTGATACTACACGGACACCAGCTAGCAGCAAATCATCACTACGCGCTCAACTTAATCTGCCAGCAATGCAACGAGCTGCGGCACCATTCCGATCTCTTGTCTGACGAGATCAAAAGGAAGCAGATGCGGCTGCAGAAGACCTTGGATCTCCATACCCGCCTTCAGCAGGTAGAGTTCAGAGACATAGTGCCCTGAGAAGTGGATAGTTAGCTTCTCCGTGGGGTTAGCCTCTCCGTCCTTAGCTGGAAGCATCTGAAATGTGCGGCTTTGCTTCGGCTGTTTGTGGTAGAAAATTGTTCCCCAAAGGCTGGAGGAGTGCTTCACCCCTCACTGAGCTGGTGAAGTTCCCAGATACCTGTTGGTGCTGTGAGTAGTCAGCAGAAAGAGGTGGGCATCTCCAGAGGGCAATTCGGAACACCCATGTTCAGCTGCTGCTGTTGGTCATGCTTTCATGCTGCATCCATGCGTTAATTGACTTTTGAGGTTTTCATACCCAGTGCAATTGAGGTAATGCTTTCAGATAAACTCCAGCGCTTTTTTCTTAGGGATTTATTAAGAATGAACATAGCTGACTGTAAAATAAGGTGACAGATTGGTAGATAGGCGCAGCTGCTGTGTGCTAGCATGGAATTGGAGTCATGGGGCTCCAACGCTCTTTGATATCTTAATCAGCATCAAATATTCATTTAGGGAAATTCACGCTAATTAGGCCAGAAGGCACACGGCTGTAATATGCTCGAGGCCATTAAGAGAAGCAGTGAAGTTTGACCCTGTTCCATTTCACCATTTCGGGGCAGTAGGCAACTTGTTTTTTTTCTCTCTGTGTCTTCCACTTCAATATCGCATCGATCTGCGGCGATGGAGGATTTGTCGGCAGCCCCTCAGCCGCAGGGCAGTGTCCTCTCCTGGGCTCCTGGTGGTCCTGGTTGGTGTGGTGGTCTAACCCGTGGGCTCTGCTGCAGCACACCGTGCTGCTGCTCTCCACGGCTTTTCTTGCCCTTCACAGCACTGGAGGTCCTCGGTCGTACTGGGCTGCAGCATCTTCTCACGCCTGTGCACACCCCAGTGTGCCACTGCCGCCCGAACCCCAGCCTGGTGTTCAGCTATTGCCTGTGCGTGTCGAATGCAGAACTTTAAACTGCGATTTAAAATCCTTATTTTTAAAAAAAACCCAAAACATGAATGCAATTCCTTTGATCGTTCCTCGCAGTTCGGGTCTGCGCTGAGCCAGGCATTTAGCTCAAGAAACCCGCCTGTCTCCTTGTAAACTCTGTAGTGCCCCCTTCAGCTTTCCGAGTTGGGTAAATAGAGATCTGCTTATCATTTGGTTCAACTACGCGCTAAATAGCGCTTCTGCGCCAGTTATACCACTGGTTTTATCCAGGTACAAGTGGGAGCACGTCTTGGCTGGGCAGGTTGAGGAGCGCAGTCACCCTCCAGAAAAAAATGTGGCCTTTCTAATCAAAATGCAACAGCTGCCGAGGTCTTTAGGAGTACTAATTAGCTCCATGTTGAAAATACGGATCCGGTAAATGATATTCCTCACGGGAACCTTGATTTAGGAGGGGTGGCTGCTCATGGTCCCGCTCCCTGTGTTTGCACCGTGCTGTCACCAGGCTCTGCAGTGCTGTGACGAGGGCGCCTACCTGCTCGCCAACCAGCAGATGGATAAGTGCCAGTCTAAAGAAGGCGCTCAGAAAGCTCTCCAGGACATAGAAAGATTTCTTGAAAGCTCTTCAGCCTACTTAAACTATGATCCCCAAGCTCTACACTACGATTTTGAGTCAATCTTAACATCGGAATTGAAGGTAAGTAACCCCTCCAGTTCCTTAACAAGTGAAAAGGCAGATCGGTCTGTGTTGCAGTGTCGTCAGCTTTATAGTCCTCTCTTTTTGGGTCAGAGTGCAAAATAATGGTTGTTATTTGATCACGGGAGTCTTTTTCACTCTCCACAGTGCCAGATACAGTCAGTGCAGGTCAAGCTTGAAAACGTTCGAAGCATGTTTGAGAATCGGCAGTCTTGCTTCAAGAAGCTGTTGGATAAACACGTGCGGCCAGTCCAATTAGTAGCCCCTCGGCCAGAAAATCCACCGAGATCAAAATCACCACTATTCTCTCCTAAACACGGTAAAATATTTAAAGTTTATGGTATTTTCAGATGATAATTTTGCTTTGAGGCAGGAAGAGGAAGGCTAAGGACAGTTTTTGAGAAACCAGCTAGACCTTGCTGGCTGAGACAGAGTTGCTGAATAATGCTACCTGTATAGGAGATGATTCATTATCTTCCCAGTTTTTGTGTCTGGCTTTCCTGTACCTGTGTGAAGAATGGTACTGGTTGCTTGGTATTTATTTTCGCTTCCTACTCCGTGAAAAAAGAGAGCTGTAAACAGCACATACCTCCAGTTCTGCTTTACTAGCATCCTACCGGGCTGAAAACTGGGGAATTAGCACTACAGGGAAAAAGGGCAAGGTTTATAAATTTATTAGCATACCTGTTCTCTGCGACAGTCTCCGTAACTGTCTTGAGCTGGAGCTGACGTTAAGTTAGACTGATGTTTGCAGAAGAGCTTGGAGAAATGAGCTCAAGTCTCATGAGCGGAAATGAGAAGCTGGATGCTTAACTCCCTTTGATGCCTTGAGAATGTCTGCCTTAAATCCCAATTGTGGAATAATTGATGCCTATAAAGGTACAAATTCTGGTTGAACTGAGGCCACTGAATGTTCTGCCTTGATTTTGGTAATGGGACGTGGCACAATGTTAGCTTTAAATGATGATATTAAAACTTTCATCCTTGGCAGCCCTGCGTGTATCAGAATTAAAAAGTATCCCAAAGTGATGTCCGCGTATTTTAAACCAGGGTGGTGCTAAGTTATGTGGGAATATTAATTCCAGTGACCTGACTGCATAAAGCAATTAAATATTTGTGTTTTAACACAAGATTTTTATGATGAATTAATGACTGTTGGTTACGGCGAGTTGTAGCAGGTGCCGTACAAGGAGGAAAAGCGGTTCCCATGGCGGGAGCGACTGATGCAGACGGCCCCGGGAGCGGAGGGGTGGGAATGAAGCTCGGTGCGGTGTGGGGAACGAGTGCAAGCCAGCGCGGCAAATAAATCACAGATTTCCTTTTCCCAGGCTGCTGGCACCTTCCCTGGACCACACTGCCCTCCGAACCCCTTTCCTCAACCAGCAAAAAAGCTGAGTCTTTAAACAAGAGTATGGCCCATTCTGCCTAATGTCACTTTTCCAGCTTTCTACAGACGGGGGTGTATTGAGGAGAAATTATTGACTTAAGGATTGGGAGTAGATGGGTGGCCACCTCTGTGGGATGTTGTGAGACTGTCACCAATCGGCTGCACTTATTTCATGCTTTTTTGGGATGCCCGTTTTTCTAGCAAAGGCACTCGGTCGCCTGCAAAGCACAGGTATTCTCCATTAATCCTCCTCCTGAAAGAGATGATCAAGTGTGTTGAAATGAGCATAGCCAGCAAGCGGGGAAAGACAAAAGGCTCCTCTTTGGATAGATCGTGCCCAGAGAGCTTTTTAATAAGGCCTCTGTTTGACACAGAACATCAAAATGCTGCAGGCCTGCTGGAGTGATGTGCAGTGTCAAAGACACATGCTGGGCTCCGCCGGGAGCGCTTTGAGATGGATGGGCTTTACGGCGTGGCTGGAAACCAAACCACCTCTCGGCACATTACTTTTGTCCTCTTTTCCTTTCTTTCTTTCATTCCCCCCCGTCCCCTCCTTCTTCTGTCTGAGGACGGATGCTTCCTCTTTCATCTTTGTCCTGGATTTGAAGCCTGTCTGATAAATGTGGGTCTAATTTTGAAACCACTTTTTTTTCGGGGGAGGAAGAGTAAACCTACCCTGTCCTGAGCCATGAAGTGTAGCGAGGTGTGTGGAGGCGTTACGGCGGGGCTGAGTGCTGGAGTAAAGTCACTCATGCAACAAAACACGGAGCTGCAGCTGGTGACCACATCTCACCTAGCTTCCTCTCCGTATTCCCTTCCTACCAGTGCGAGTCTCCCAGTAGGACCACCGGCAAGTCCTCATTTCTTTTGGGTCTTCTTGTCCATGATGGGTCGCACCCCAGGGACGCCTCCGATCTGCTGCCCAGCACCCAGATCTCTCTCCTCGCTCACACGGCGTGTTTGCAAGGGGAGGTGTGAGGTTGCAAGGAGAGGTGTGAGGCCCTGTGGATGTGGGATCTCGTAGCAGCTTTGTCTCGCGGTGGCCCCGTCTGAAGGTGGGGCGCCCGCTCCCCACGGGGCTTTGCGTTCCTCTGCATCCTTTTTTTCTCCCTACATCATCTGCTTCGCAAAAAGTTGGCTCTTCGGTGTCAGCGCTGTTCAAACCCTCGTTCTAGACACGGCTGCGGTTGCATTCATCTGTGGTGTGAGACCTTTCTGCACCCTAATGGAAAGATACTTCATCAGTCCACTTTTTTTTTTTTTTTTTAATTTTTACTTTGCCAGCCTGTTTTTGTTCTGTTTGTAAATAAGGGGAATGTTGCACGTCAGGATGTGTTTAGTTTTGGTTCATCTCAGAGTTTGGTGCAGCCCCTGGGGCTGCAGCCTGCCGCGTGGCACCATCGCCGAGGCATTGCCACCGCCAAAATGGGTCATCGTTGGTCCCCTCTCGGTCCTTGCTGCCTGCTCCTCTGTCCTCTGCCGGGTCGCCTCTGTGCGACAGACCCCCACAGAGCTGGAGAAATTCATTACTGCCATTCACGTTAGGGGAAAAAGACCCTTTTGGTGAAGAATCGGCATATTAACAATTCAGGAATGAGAAGTATTTGAAAGATGCCATATGACTCGTTGGGGAGATGGATGTTTTATTTTTAAGACCCACCTACAATTTAGTTTTATTTAGACCCACCTACAATATACCTCTGTAGCCCAAAGTGTTACAGGTTGGAATTATTCACTGACAATATCAATAAATTCTTCCAAGCTGGAGAAACAGTTTATACCAGCTGAGCATCTTCCCCTACCTTCATAAAAGGACCTTAAAACAGTATCCCAGTAGGTGATGTTCCTTTTGGTAGTTTATTTGATGTTATTGTTTTCTATCATTTGCACAGGCTTCACGGACTTTGTTAGGTTTTGATTACAATATTCACTTAATGGACATTTTGGTTTTTTTTCTGATTAATTTTAACTTTGTGACCTTTATGACCAGCCGTGTGGTTTGTATTATTTGGCATTCAGTGTTGTTGTTTGAGATTATACCCTATATTTTGTCAGTTTGCTTGTAGAATTGGCTAATTATTCATTCTTAAAATGTATCCCATTATTCTTTGTGACTTATTAGTTTCCGTCTGAACCATCTCCTTCACGATAGATGTACATTACGTAATTATGGTTTTTTTTCTACCCAAGGTGTGGATTTTAATTCCAGTTTGAAATTTTCATTTGATCTCTCTCTTCCTGGGAAGAAAACATCAAGAAAAACTCCAAGTTCTCGCAAGGTAAAAATTATTCATGAAATCTGAATCAGTTTTATACACTGAAAAACTGAAACCCGTCTAAAAATTGATTCTACTTAGACTTTGGAGTTGAAGATGCTCTTTTCTTAAAAAAAACCCCTAAACCGCACAACAAAAGCCCTTTCATATCCGTATGGTTTAGTTGGATTAGTCCAGCACCTGAGATCTATCTTGGATTGGTTTTCCAAGTTGCAGATATCGATTTCCCGTGTGTTATGCCCTGAACTTGTTCTCTGCGTAACAGTGATGTCTATTAGCAAAACTCCACATCCGCAGATATTTCCCTTGTGACGACTGTTCTCTGGTCTCTGCACTAATGAATTACGTTACCGGTATTTTGGGGTTTTTATGTAGCAGAGTAATTTCTGGGGATATTTGGCTACCCTTTGTACTCTCTGCCCTTTTAAAGTTTTGTGTCGCAAAGGATTTCTTAAAAGGAAGCGTATTTCATCCTTCCCCAAGGAGTTCCCGTGCCGACACCAGGGGCTGGGCTCGTCCTGCCTCTGCGCTGAGCCCCTGCAGCTCTTCCCAGCGCATCCCGTTTCTCTTCCAGATCGAAGTAATGCACGACTACCAGGAAAAACGGAATTCCTTGCAGTCTTTTATTTCAGACAGTGACGACAACTTAGATATACTAAAAGGGTAAGCTTTCACCCTGTTTACATCACTCAAAATGCTGTTTGTTTCGGGCCAGCCCTTGCCCCATCCACGTGTTCCTCCAGCCTGACCATCTCTTGTGCTTTTGCCTGTTTTATCATCCCTGTGTCGGTTATTCATGAGATCGCACTATGTTTTGGGCTTGGTGAACTGCGCTGGTTGCCTGTGGGTTTTTTTTTACAGCCATAAAAATACTATACTTTTTTTTTTCTTCTTTATTTTAGCCACGTCATAAATGAGCTTATAGAAACTGAGAGAGTGTATGTAGAGGAGCTCTTCACTGTTTTGACGGTGAGTGGCATCTTCAGGTTGCTCATCATTGTTCCCCGGTGAGTTGTACAAAAGGGCTCTGTCAGACTAAGCAAAAATGTGATGGGGCAGGTTTCTACCAGACTGTCAGATCCCAAGCTAGTCATAAACGGTCAAGTTTTCTCCCTAGCTTTTCTTTGTTGGAGGCATCTGCGGGAACAGTTGGTGTCAGGATGAGCTTTTCATCTGGAATGAGGGAGAAGCCTTCTGTTTGTACACAAAAGCACTGGTAATTAGTTTTATCAGTGCCTGGAAAAATGCACAAAAAGCTGTTATTTTTAACTGTTCCCTAATTTCTTTTACCTTTCGGAGACAAAAGACAGTGTTTTATCCTTCGGAGGATTCTGTCTCGATACTGTGAAGTTTGTGAATGTATAACGCACATTTCTTTGGAAACCAGATTATAATTTCTCATGCTGCCGTCTTAGACACTTCTACTTTATTCCAAAATAACTCTTGCTGATGGCCAAAACAAGTTGGCTGTTAAATAGCTCTCCCCCTGCCTTGCATCACCCAGGAGCAAGCAGGATATAAATCTGTGTGCCTGCAGGTGGTTACATGTAATTGCCCTGCACTGATTGGGTTTTTTTTGTTCAACCACACTCTACACGATAAGGCAGTTGGCAGCTACGCAGATTTATTACTGTGCATATCAGGTCTAGATAGAGAAAAACGGACAGATAGACTTAAATTTTCTGAAAATAGCGTTTCCTTGAAAGAGGGAAGCCTGCTTGCAGTGGTTAAATATAAATGACTGGTTTTCCAGATACTTATCTTTTCCTGCATCCTTAATCAACTACAAAATGCCTGCTTAGGATAAGGAATATTGATCCCAGCCATAGCGAGTGTGAGAGATTAATTTGGAACGCCAGAGAAGCTATGCCGTCCATACTGAATCCATTTTTACAAACATTTTTGCTATTCGTGTTAAAAAGACCTCAGTTCCGTGCCAGGCTGGGTGACTAGCGTGGCCAGCTCGAGCTGTGGCTAATGGCCTTCTTGAAGTCTTCTTTGCAGCGACGGTCCTGAGCTCTGGCCGTGCCTTCTCCCTGCTCTGCTGTTAGGATGTTTACCACTTCTGGTGAATGTTTTTGCGTTGGTGCAGTGCCGTGATGTTAGAGCGGGGAGCTTTGCGTTATTTCCTGGCTCCACCCAACACTTTGCAGCGCAGGGGTGTCCCTTCCAGTTGTGATTTCAAGAGGCAAGTGGAGCCGCAGGGGACAGAAATCCTGAGGCACGGAGGAGAGCGAGCCCCCGGTGCTCCGCGGGTCTTGTACGAGGGCAAAAAGTCCATTGATTTTGGCATTTGATCTCAAGCCGCCTCTGCTCTGTAACAAGCCGCCTCGTGCACAGGTTCTCCTGGGGTCGTGTGGCGCTCCCGTGTCCCGCGGTCATAGCAGCAGACGTGTTCACGCCAGACAAGTATTTCTCCGGGAGCTCTCCCACGGTAAGGCCGTAGCCAGGAGAAAGTGGCTGCCGTTTGCCTTTGGTGAACAGAGAGCATCTCCCCGGTGCCGGGCAGCTCCACGGGAGCCATCCCAAGCCATCCCCGGCTGGACCACAACCCCACAAGCCCAGGGACTGAAAGACAGGGGTTTAGGGACAAAAAATAAGGCAATAAAAGGGACGTTGCCCTTTGAAACCAAGCAGATTGTATTGAAAGTCTGTTCACGTCCCTTTTTCATCTGCCTCTGAGGAGATGCCAAGCCAAGGCCTTACCAGCTGAGTGATGAGCCCCTTTTTGCATCCCGCAGGGCTACAGAGCCGAGATGGATAACCCCGCCATGCTCATCCTCATGCCTCCCGTGCTGAGGAACAGGAAAGATGTCCTCTTCGGGAACATGCCCGAGATATACGACTTCCACAACAAGTACGATGCTGCCTCTATTCCCCTTTTCATCAGACCGATTTCCTTTAGCGATTAAATCCCCAAACCGTACCTTGCTCACCGCTGCGTTTTGTCTCTTCTCCCGTCTCTTGCAGAATTTTCCTGCACAGTCTGGAAAGCTGCCTGGGAGCACCCGAGAGAGTGGGATTTTGTTTCCTAGACAGGGTGGGTGACTCATTTTCACATATATAGCAGACCTGAAGGCCAACGTTTCCCTGATTTGTCGCAACTCTGCAACATCTCAGTTATGTCGGTTGGGTGAGATGCTTCTGATAGGCAACACGAGCGGCAAGGCAGGGCGCAGAGGTGCAGATGGGGGAAAGCAGCAGTCGTGACTACGCCGCGGTCTGCTCTGATTCCCGACAGCGGTTCATTTACCCAAACTCTGCAACTTTTAGACGTTAAGGTTGGAAGGAGACGTTAAGGTTGGGGATTGGAACATCTCTCCTATGGAGAAAGGCTGAGGGACTTGGGTCTCTTTAGTCTAGAGAAAAGAAGATTGAGGGGGGATCTTATTAATACTTACAAATACTTAAAGGGAGGCTGCCAGGGGGATGGGAGCAGTCTTTTTTCAGTGGCGCCCAGTGATAGGACGAGGGGTAATGGGCATAAACTTGAACACAGGAAGTTCCATCTTAACATGAGAAGGAACTTCTTTACCTTGAGGGTAGTGGAGCACTGGCACAGGCTGCCCAGAGAGGTGGTGGAGTCTCCCACTCTGGAGCCATTCAAAACCCGCCTGGACGCCGTCCTGTGTAACATGCTGTAGGTGACCCTGCTCTGGCAGGGGGGTTGGACTAGATGGTCTCCAGAGGTCCCTTCCAACCCTAACCATTCTGTGTGATTCTGTGAGAGATAAAAGCAAATTTGCAGTTTGGGTGTGCGCTTTATTTGGCTGCCCAGCAGGTTGGCGGTACGTGCATGTGTGTGACTTGCCTTTCGGCTTCCCTTACAGCGACAGGATTTCCAGATGTATGAGAAATACTGCCAGAACAAGCCCCGGTCGGAGTCCCTGTGGAGGCAGTGCTCCGAAAGCACCTTCTTCCAGGTGAGCTCTTTGTTCCTACCAAGGCAGGCATCATCTTGGGACGCTCGCTTGTCCTAAACACCCTCCTCAGCACCCGCTGATCTTGCAGCATAGTCTTTTTACCATTGTGTGGAAGCCTCCCAAAAATAGCACTTGGAGTTTCTTGTGCCAGAGGAGTTTAAGGCAGATCCATTCATTATGTTATTTCATCTTCTTTTTATAAATTCTCTTTAGTTATGGGCACCGTATGACATTTTTACATGAAATCTTCAAAGTCAGCGAACCATACCAGTCGTGCTGTTGGAATAACTACTTACAGTTGGTGCAGAACTAACTTAATCGGAATTCTTGGTTCAAGGAATGCCAAAGAACATTGGAGCACAAACTCGGGCTGGATTCCTATTTGCTCAAACCAGTGCAGCGCCTGACAAAATACCAGCTACTTCTGAAGGTATTTCATATTCTACTTTGAAAGGACATCAGGAGATAGGTTTGTTTTCAAGTTTGGTTTATTTTTCAATTAAAGGTTACCTGTAAATCAGCACTGAGCCTTAGATTACATATTGCTTATCTTGGCCCTCTGTAGCAACTTTCGGGGAAGATGAAAATTCACATACCTGAAAAAGGAACAAGAGCTTTTAACGAGCTGTTTTTATGGGGAGAAAGACTGAATCGGTTCAGAGATGCAAAATGACAGAAGCAGTTCTAAAAAAACTGAACCAGAGATGATCATAAGAGTATGATGAATAAAATGTATTGCTGCATCTCTTCTTCCCCTCAGGTTTGTTATAACGCCTGTAATCTTTCATGCATTTATTCTTGTGTCCCCTCTCTGAGGCAGGGCAGTGCTGTTATTCCCAATTTACAGAGCACTGGGGTGGTGGCTTCTGAAACCCACCTTCCAGCTTCTTGAATGAGGGAGGAGTACACAAGATGCTGTAAGCAGGCAGAGGAGATCTCAGATGAAAGTAATTTTATTTCAGTGATACAATTCCCAAATCTGTCTTCTGCTTATTGACTTGGAGGCTCTGGATTTTATAAAATCTGTTCCTCGTGTCTGCCAGTCTGAAGACAATCATCTGCTGCAACCTTATTTGAAGGCATATGTGACATATCGGCAGCTGATGGAAAACCTGGGACTTGTTTCCCATTTCTTACCAAGCAGGAAAACACAACACAAAGTACTCAGATGAGCGTGATGCCACTCTATAACCTGACACCGTCCTTAAGGAAACCCAGAAAAAATGGGCCACGCTTCAGTGGTCTGTTCCACACCTCATAGCGACTGTGGTTTAGAGTGAGCCTGTTTTCCGGTGACCTATGGAAGAAGAAGCTCGGGCAGTGTAGGATGCTCTTGGGCATTGGAAACTTTGGGTGAGATGGAAAACTCTGTTTTGTTCAAGTGCAAACACGTGCTCTTCCGTTTCTATTTTCAGGAGTTGCTAAAGTACAGCACGAGCTGTGATGGAGTTCAGGAACTTCAAGAAGCTCTGGTTGCAATGCTGGATTTGCTGAAGTCAGTCAACGACTCTATGCATCAGATTTCAATAACAGGATATGATGTGAGTAGATTTGGGTAATGGGAGACCAAGGCCGGATGATGCATCGGGAATGAATAGTGTCCCAGAATGTATGAGCTAAAACCCATGCTAGAACGGCTACGAAGTGAATGGGATCAGGAAGGTCTTACAAGTGACAATCTTCCATCTGATTTCAGGATTTTGGAAAATATCCTTATCCAAAGGACATATCAAAGTTGCGTAGTGCCCACACTTGCCACCTTGTGGTTCTTGAGAGTATTTTTTCCAGCACGCACTTTAGTTCTCTCGAGGCTCACCTTACAATTCCCCCGGGGTGTCTTCATAGCATTTCTCATTCAACATTCAACTAAATACTCTCTGAGGCTGATTTTGATCCTTGCCCATGGAAGCGGTTGTCTTTCCTAGGGCTTCAGGGAAGGGTGAGGAGATGGCTTTTTTAAGCTGCTGGTCCCAGTCCTGGCCTCCTTGAGAAGTCCATCCTCCGAGACCTCAGTTCAGGCTCAAATCTCGTCTGCCCTCTCCCACTGAAGTAGCCAGAGCCCTTGACCTGGACTTCCACAGGAGCTGGAGGGTTTTCCTATCTTCCTAGTTCTTCCAGTTACTGACTTGTATCCCTTCGCATAGACTAGCCGCAGCCCTGCATCCGAGACTGGCACTGTGCCGTCACTCCCAAAAGATCATCTGATCCTTCCAGGAAGACCTATTCTTAGAGTGACGTGCCTTGGAACAGAGCTGGCCTCAGCGCCCGTCATTGTTTGGACAGTCCTCTTGCATTTTAATTGACATCTTTTTCTTTCTTTTTTTATTTGTCATACTCTCACCAGGGTGACCTGAGCGAACTGGGGAAAGTATTGATGCAAGGATCTTTCAGTGTTTGGACAGGACACCGAAAAGGTCCAACAAAAATGAAGGATCTTGCCAGGTTCAAGCCAATGCAGAGGCATCTGTTCCTGTACGAGAAAGCCTTGGTCTTCTGCAAGAAGCGAGAGGAGCATGGAGATGGATATGACAAAACCTCATCTTACAGCTTTAAGCATTTTTTGAAAGTAAGGACTTTTTAGTTGGGGCAATTGCCATGTATATCATAAACCAGTAACTCTGCGGACCCAGAGTTGCTCTAACACAGTGGCTTGTTTTCTCCAATTAAGAGTTGTGATGCCCTGTATGGATGTGCCGTGCCCATGAAAGGCCCTTGGTTCTAACAAGCCGTGAGGACCCCCGTAGCTGAAGCAGCAGCTGGGAGAGCCCATGGACTCAGAGTCACATATATGGTGGCATCCGCCGGGGAAACGGTGCTGCGGGCAAGTCCCAGGGATGAGAATGTGCCTTCCCCCCTCCCCTAGTCCGCTTTCCGGCAGCGGGGGCGAGGGCATGAAACTGGGGAGGCTCTCCACATCTTCCCCAGCCCACCGGGGAGATCAAGGGGGCTCCCCATGCCCCTGGTCCCCAGGGAGCTCCCTTGGGCTGGGGTCTCTCTGGTGCACAGCCTGGAGGAGCCTGGCTGCTCCCGAGCCCTGTTTCCCAGCCAGGAGGATGCAGAGAGAGCTCTTCTTCCTCTCTTATTGCCTTTCTCCTTTGGCGGGCTCCAAACGCAGCTAGAAGTGCAATTATCAGAGGAAGAGAGTAGCCTATGGCAAAATATGAGGGACATAAACAACTGTCCCAAGCCTATAAATGCTAACTATTAGCAATAAAAGTCCCAATCTGCTCCTCAAAAAGAGAGCCTCTGGCATACTGCGTGTGATGAGCACTTCTAACAATCAGCGTTTTGTCTCAGTACTCTGCCTTGTTTTTCTTGATGAATAAAACCCCAGTATGGGTCTGTCTTAGAACGGACAAAAGGGGCGCTCGGAGGCAGAGCCTTCAGGCTCAGGTGCTGCAGGTCCCAGATCTCAGCAGGGTCTGGGGAGGGAGATGCTACGAGTAGTCGGAAAGCCAAGTAACAGCAGATAAGTCCGTTCAGCTCCAGCGCACGTTACAAATTGTGTATTAAAAGCAAATCCCAGGCCATATGTTAGATGTTTTTCCCAAACAGCATCATTTTCTTTCTGGAGAGCTTGTTTTCCCTGCGGTACTTGTTTTGTCATACGTGCTTTTGAAAGAACTGAAGAGGTGGTGTGGGGAAAGGCTGCTGGGAGGAGAAAATCCCGCGCTCAGGAGTCCAGGCAATGTGGCCAGGGTTTTTCTTTGCCTCCAGAGGGCTCATTTTCCAGTTGTTTGCGTTGCCGCACTGAGAGGTTGGGGTAAGAGAATCCGTGGATGCTGAAGGATTACATCTGCACGCATCCGTTTGCAGAATTGTTGTCCTGAGGGCGAAATCGTGTTTCTGGAGCTTGACATTTGTTTGATTCGTGATAGTATCAGGAAATTAATTTTTCTTTGCAAGAATGTTTGCTGGGGATTCAGAATTAAAGCAAGCTGTCGGGCAGAAGTTGTGTAACTGGACCTCTGTAAAACAAACAAAAGAACCCCTCAGGATAATATTTTACATACTATGTAAAATACGCAGTGGTAAATACCTCTTCAGCTGCGATTCAGTAGCTTAGAGGATGCAGGTCCATAACTCACTGCAATGCCAAGTGAATCAGTCTGCCTGGTACCGCCGATGCGGAGGAACGCCATCCCCGAGCTTTAGACGAGCCCACCTGGGTCTGCATTGCAGTGAACAGCTGAGGAACACTAAATCCTGGCCAGGGGGAGGACACAGAATTTCAAAATCCACTAACATGAACGGACAGACCTTAAATATGTCTATTGCCGGCACTTCTCTTCGCATCCTTGTAGTAGATCATCTAAAATTTCTAATATCTCGATGCCTGGGCCCTTTTGTAGGAAACTCTGTGTAAATTGCTGGGCTAAACAAGATGCACGGAGCTGGAAATGGCAGCGGCTGGATGAGGTGCTCTCTAGGCTGCCCTTCCAACACCTTTCATAGAAAAATATTTTTACTTTGCTGTTTTTTAAGTTTTCGTAAGATCAGAATGGAGCCTGATGCAGCTTTGCAGGGCGCTGTGGCGCTATACTGCGGAGGATAATATTTTCCAAGATGTTGAGGATGATGCTGCGGGCTTTAACGTGTGCGTTTTTAAATGCCACTGGATGTTGCGTAAAACTGCGGATGTGCAAATGGTCGCTGGCTTTGATCACCTTCTTGCAAGCTCAGTCCTACTGAGTGCAGATCTCCAGACTCATGTCAAACGTGACTGTACGGTCGGGGTTGAGAGAGCGATGGGGGGCAAAGAGAGAGCGGGAAATACCGACCGCCGTTCAGTGCTGGGCCTTTCTGCGTCTGGAGGCAAACGCCTTCTCAAAGGTACAGAAGAGCTCTGCTGTTTATGGCAGCGAAGAAATGAAGAAAGCTAATTAGCAGCCTGCTTCCTATTTCCTCAGGCGGTTCGCAGCCACTGAAAATAGGCGCCAATGTTTGAAAAAGTCGCTAGGAACAGGAGGTTTGCCCAGGTGACCTCATCTGTAAATCCTCCCTGTCTTTCAGACCAAAAGCTCTGAGGAGGCACCTATTAGCAAAGAGGGACAGCAGTGTGAAACAGATGTTCTTTCTAAGGCCTTATTTGTATTTATACTGATTTATCTGATGCAGTCAGTGTGAATAATTTATGATAGATGATACCATTATTATTAGATCTGTTTCAAAACATGTAAGTGGGATACTGTAGCTATTTTTGACCATGCGTTAATCAGCGATAAATTCCTGGCAAGCTGTGCTTTAAATGAGATGTTTTCTGTGATACCAGGTATTAAAGCAT